AAATTCTGATATGAATGAGTACATCAGAACATGCAGAAGCACACATGGAAGCAGAAGTTGTACAGCTGTAGAATTAAAAAACATTCTTTTTCTCTTTTTGGTCAGTAAAGCACTCTGAAAGCCTGCATTTCTTTGTGTGATGGATACACACAATGTTTGAGGATTTTAGCCTAATCCCTGCTGCAGGGAGATAGTTTCAGTGTGCCCTTTTCTGGTTTTTTACCATATTTATCAATCACAGAAATTACATTTCCAGTTATCTTTGTTATTGCAAGGGTTAGATCATCATAAAGCATTGACAGGTACCTACCTACTACCAAGGTGTCACTGGGAATATCTTCAATTATGCATTTCTCTTCTCTTTCTCCAATGTGAAAATACAAAGCGAGTGAAAAAGAAATCCAAAAGTTCATAAGAAATCCTATTAATTTGCTTTTCATGTTTTTTATGTATCCCCGCTGTTCTGCTTTTGAAGATAGTTACATACAAATGCCTGCAGTCCTGTGGTTGTTTCCTTGTTTGCTGCTTATCAGAGTATTTTTGAGAGAGAAAAAAAAAACTGTGAGAAAAGGCAGCTGGTGGTTAAACATTAATAAATAACTGCAGCATGTTCTGAAGAATGAGATAACATGGAAAAGACACCTTTTAAATTCTTTCTTCTTTCCCAGCATCTAGATTAAAATTTATTTTATTCACTTAGAAGAGCATGAAACTGAAAGGGCCTCTCAGGTGCTTGAGATCAGTTCCCTAGATTACTGTAGGCAACTACATTGGCTACCTCTTTCCATAAACTGCTCAATTTTCAACTTAAATGAAGTTATTATTTCCCATTAATTCTGGGTGATTATTCCAGAGCTTCACTCCTCTTTTATTAAGAAAACTTTTAATTTCCATTCTAAATCATTGTACATATATAGGCACCTGTATAAAACCACAGGTGCTACATAAAAGAACTATAAAGAAGTCAAAAGAACTTGAATAATCAAATAACATTAGTGAATATGTAAAATGATACAGATATTGCAGGGGAAAATAACAGCATTAACACTTTCAGAATAAGATTTTTTTAATATAGGAATGACTCTTCCTTAGATACTTCCTAATACATTCTCTGAAGAAAGTTACAGTATAAATCAAACAGTGGTTGAGGTTCTTATTTTTATTCTTTGTAACTAATATAGACTAATGTGTATGTCTGATGACTAACTCATTTATCACTCAAATGTTCCTTGTCCTATAAATGAAGATCACTCTGGCTGAAAGGTTGGCCTGAATGGTCATTTTCCAGCAGGGAGGACCCATCCGTGGGATCATTTCCAGTCAGGAGGACTCATCTTTCCTCAAAAAACTAATGTTAACCCAATTGCATGAGAACACCTATTTTTCTTGTATCAAGGAAGAAGGGTGAACAGCCCTTCAGATTCAATATCTGTAGACATTGAAGATCAGTATCTAAATAAAAATTTTGAGATGATAACTCCTACTGCATTATTTCACTTCTGCAAAGAAGGACTGATTCGTGTTTATTGCCCTTCACTGCACCTGCCATCTGTGAAGTTGTCTCAATAAAGGAATGTCTGTGTAACACTGGCACAGGCTTAGGACCATCCTGGGTTCAGTCCATTTCACAGCATGAAGTAACTTCATGGAAGCTGTAGCACAAGCATTAGTTCACCTCCAAAAATCACCCATCAGCATCCCCATATTGAGAGGCTGTCAGACAAAGAGAACTGATTCCTTACTCATTACTTCTTTGACTCCATATGGTAAAGGATAGAGGGATAAAAATTGCATCTCATGGCTGTTGAATCTTTAGGAATGTCAAGGGGGATGTTAGGACTCCTTTACTACTTCAGGACTTATCCATCAGAAATAATTTTAGATTATACAGGATCTCATATCATTGGGTTTTTGCCCCTCTACCACAGGAGATGTTGACTGTCATTCACTTGCATAAATTCTCATGCCATACTCATACCTGCAGAAAATATAGTTTTGTCTGCAGGTTGTGAGCTACTTGACCTATCATCTTTTTAGCTTTTTGTTGACCACTTGTGGCTTCCAAAATTCTGTGTTCCAGTGGTAGAACACAAGATATACAAGGTGACACCACTTTATCCTTCACTCTGCTCAGACCCATTGGAACAGATACATTCCTTCTGTACTTTTAGCTAGCAAATGCTGGCAGAGTAGGGCGGCTGGACTTCAAGCAAATCAAAATAATTCAGTCTCCAATTGTTGGATCATTCATGACAGATCAGATATTCCCAACGTCCTTCAATTACGTGAGACTGGGAATATAATAAATGAAGCTTTTTGCCTTGAATAGCATCAGATACTCTCAGATCTTTTGTTTGCACACTTATTCCATTATAGGAATTTAACTTGGTGTTAATTATATTTGTAGGACCATAGTTTAATTCTGTAGTGATTTTTTTGTTGCTACACTTTATCATTAACTGCATCTTCCATTCTGCAAGAATATCTGCCAAGGCATCAAAGCTAATTCTTTCTATAAAAGATTATTGAAAAGAATTGCCTTTACAAATCCATTTCAAGCTTCTTTCCAAAGTGCTTTCTGAGATTAACTTAACCCAAGAATTAATTTGCCTATTTCCTTCCCTAAATCTTGTGTATTTAGGACCTTAGTATCTTGGCTGCCAACCATCTGTAATATGAGGTACAAGAGAAAAGGAAGGAAGAGCTTCTCTGTGTTTCTTCCTGGTCCCAAAAATTTTAAGGGAATTCCAAAGCTGCTAAGGCTATGAAGTCCTAGCAACATCCATGCAGGGATCGTATACCTCACTAATCAGTTTAATAGATAAATACTGTGAGAAATGTGCTCCATCACTAGAATGTGTTTCATTCACTGTATCCACAGTCTTGCCAAGTCATAGCTCCATCCCTGTGGCTTGCAAAGAGAATACCTGGAATTATATTTATGGCCAAGTAATGCACAGCCACAGGGGCATCCTTAAAGATTATATTTACCAAGGTCTCCTGAACTTACAGCTTACAAAAAGCCCCATATCCTGGGGCTGGATAGGAAAACTCTGTTTTTGAAGGAAGTTGCAGCGAATATTCAGGTATTCTTTTCCTGGGCCTGGCTCTTTATTTATTCTGGGCATGTGAAGAAGCAAAACTGCAGTGTTTTGAAAACTTCCAGGAAAGTACCTCAAAGGATACCTTATGGGTTTTGAGTTTGTTTTTCCTAAGGTTTTGAGTTTGTTTTAACTAAGGCATAATTTAGAATTGCATCTGATATCAGCCCAAAAACTTTATTGAGCTTAATTTATCTCTTGACAATCAATTTGAAATAAGCTCCTATCCTCTGAGAATATTTACATTTATACTATAATATATGCTTATGTTTTCTGATATGATGATAAGTGTGTAAACACATTGTAGGTAACTGTAACAGAAAACACAGAATGGTTAAAACTAATATATAAAAAGAAAGAAGAAAAATACTGATGATTAATTAAACACAAAATAGTGTAGAACACTATTCCCATTATACAGTGGAAATAGGGGGACTTTAAAAAATAACGATGGTAACAGGAATAAGTGAAGCAATTTTGAACAACAGACAACAGAGGGAATCTGAAGAATGAGAGAAGAGCAGATATTCCTACACTTAGTTCTAACAGCTGTGTATTTATCAGCATTTGCAGGACCAGTGAAGTTTAGTCTGATAAAGTTTCAAATTTATTTGTGTCTTTGCAAGATATCACTCCTGCAAAAAAAATACAGAGAAATGTTTAAATGCTAAAGCCCTACGGAGAATACAGTGTGTTCCTTTAAGGACAAGAGAAATGATCTTGTATTTGGCATATTCCAGAAAGAACCTACTCAAATGAACTCTCCTGTTTAATACCTGTGCTGTATATTTGTAAAATTGCAGTGTGCTGTAAAAGTTTTGTGAGCTGATTTTAAACTTATTCTATTGAATAAATATTATTCCAAAATTCTTTTCCTAGTTGGTAGCCACATAAGCCATATATTACATTCCTTTTATGACAGTTATTTGAGCATTAAAACTTGCAGTCAGGAACAGTTTCTAGCATGTGTTTTGTTAGAGTTGTGCATACCTAATTTTAGGTAATATATACACAAATAGCAGCAAACACGTATAAAGAAACATGGACACATTTACTTTATATATAAGGTTAATGATATAATTTATGTTATGGTCAACAGCATTAACTTTGAGATTAAAGTTGTCTCATGAGGGACACACACCAACATTCAGTTTTTGAATCTCAGCTAACACTTTTAATTCAGTTCAGATGATTTTACTACTATCCACACTTCTGATTATTTTTCTAGTAATTTTGTTGGCTGAGTGTCCTCATGGCAGTTATTCTTCTCACTTTTGAGAAAGAAAAAGAAAAAGACGTTTTCATATATTCAAAAGTCTCGAGACAAGTTCACTCAATTCCATTATTGTCTTAACCACACTGCTCACTCTGACTTTTGTAAGTAGTTTCTGAAGAAAGGGACATTAAGCAAGGTTAGAAAGACGACAAAAATGCCAATAAATTATAAAAACATAATTTAGAGGAAAAACCTATTTTCGATGTATAAATAGCTGTAGATAAACAAATTACAATATTTAAGACAATTTTTAAGGAGGTTATTAGTTTAGGTTTTGTGATTGAAAGATTTTTACTGTGAAGTAAAAATGTGAAGTACAATGTTTCCAAATATCTTCTTTTCTGCCACTAGAGGGTACTCCAAGAATTTACAGTGTATCTGGAGGAAGGATTGATTTGGGGATTTTGGCCTGTAAATTATCCAGTACTGTTGTCCTACTAAACCTTAGGAATTTAACCCCCCAAAATCTTGATATTAAATAAAAACTTTCAAAACCACTCTAATACAGCTTTTCAGCAAAATAGTGCAGCGTATCCAAATTATAAAGAACATTGATTGACATTTAGTTTAGATTTAAACTTATACTACTTTTAAATTATTTTAATTATTTTCCTTTCTTTATTTCAGACACAGTTCTCTGGTTCACATCCTGTTTCTTCATCCAGGTTTGGACAAGGCATTCCATTATTGGCAGGCTGAAGAAGTACAAACCGAGTTCTGATCTTGGTCCCTGTTTCTCTGCAAACCCCTCTGCAGAGACCCCAGGAAGACCATTGTGAAACCTCGCAGTCCAGGGGTGTTTCTGCAACACACACAGCAAAGAGGTAACTTTACATCGAGTTGTAATTCAGTCAAATACACAGCTGGAAAAGCATTAAGGAATGATCATTAAGCAGCATCCTTTCTTATACAAAATACACGTGATTAATCAAATCAGTATGTTGTCTCATAAATTTAATAAAAGCCTGGTTTCAGCTCCTAAACTCATTGGTATTATTGTTATTGCAGTCTAGAGCCTGTCTGAAGTATTATATCAGTACTGAAGCATATTATATCTTGAAGGAAAACACGGGATTCCTTATAAGAACTATGCCTAAAATGATTGTACTCAAAATACTGAATTGAAAAACATTTACTGAGAAATTTATAACTCATTTTTATTTGCATGGCTTACTAAAGCACTGGGATTAAAGTTTTTCTCTGGTTTATTTAGATATATTTGTATTTCTTTGCAGGCACTTATGGTTCCTAGAGTCGTTCATATCGAATTCCATTTTACTTTTGTTCCAATTTGCTTCAGAAATAAAGTCCCATTTTTTATCATTAAATCATCATGCTATATTTTGGTGTTTACACTACTCTTCCCTTTGCTAATAAGGATATTCTGTCACTAGAAGCTTTCTAATGCTGAACGGATCTTCAATATAGTTTTCATTCAGTGCAAGAAAAGAAGTTAGAAACTCTGAAGTACTATCCATACTGTATGCTTCTATCTAAAATAAAAATCATAAAAAGTAGGTGAATATTCCTTAGCAGGTTAAATTAAAATGCTGCTTGTCACAGAAATTGCATCAAAACTGCCTGCTATAGCATTTGTGGGTAAAATAGGTGTGCACGAGCCCAACTTTAAATGCCACACCAAATGTGACACCTGGTATCAATTTCTGGTATTACAGTGAAGTCACCACTTCTGTTGTCATCACTCACTCCTATATTTCTAGAGGGAATGAGGGACACTGCTTGACCTCTGGTAATTAAATCTGCCCTTTTAATTACAGAATAAGTTTTTAAACAGGCTGATTTACTGGTTCATATACAAGAAACTGAGGATTTGTGATTTAAAATTATTTTTGAAATACCATACTTTAAATGCAGTTTTAAATTTAAATCATGAACAGGGCTAAATGTTCCTTTCAAATCTTATGGGAAAGACATATAACTGTAAATGAAATGTGTAACACTTACTTTGGATATGTCTTGTTTGCTAATAGAAATACACTAACCACTATAGATTGATACATTTATTAAATTATAAATAACACATTAACTGTGTAGATGATGAGCTGTATTTTAATGGTTGTAAGGTGACCAGCACAGTGCTAGAGACATGCAATCTCCAGACTTTCTGGAGAAGCTCCTGGAACTTGGTAACTGTTTTGGGAATACATTGCTCCCTTGGAGCAAATATTGCATTAATTATATATTTGTTAATTCAGAGATTTGAAAATCACCCTTATGATTGACTTGAGCCAGTAGTCTGCATGTCTTCCTACCTCTTCAATATTATTAGCTGACATTTTTGAGAAAATGAAACTGAGAGAGAACTTTGTTATTGTTATCAGGATTTATGTTTCTATTGAAAATATGTCCAAATCAATTGAATTATATAAATTTTTATTGCACATAGCTGCCAATCTCTGACCCAGAAAGAGACAACAATAATGGTTCTTGGCTTCATTGTCATGTAAAACCTTAAGGAGGAATATTTACTTCAAAGTTGCAAAGAGTTTGGGAATGCTGATTCTGATTGAGTGTCATTTGTTTCTTATAAAATTCACTTATAAAATCATACAAAGGCTTGGGTAGTTCTTACTCTGGATAGGGCCCAGTCCTTTGAACCACAGCTGAAATATGCAATCCCTTACTTATTCTTTCAGGAATTCTCTTTTATGATGACTGGCTTGTTTTATTTCCCATTTGTGAGTCTGGAGCTTTTACTATGCAGATAGGAGAATATTCTGCCTGATCACCTGTTTCATCCACATCACCTGCCAAATTTCCACATACTTCTGAGTGAATGGAAATAACAGAATCGAGAACATCTACTTTGTCACTTACCTGAGACACTGTCTATTACTTCATTGCTTTTAGCTGGAAGATTAATAAAAGGTGCAGAAAGACCTAGCTGGCTTTTCTTTAATTTCACCATTGTTACTTGAGCAATTGGTGGCAAAATTTTGAGTTTGGGATAATAAAATGAGTTTGCTGGGTGACTTGGAGAGGAACAAGTGATCTGTGAAATAAAAAGGAGAATATTAAAAAAACTAAGAAGGTAAGTGTAAAGTCATGTTTGTAAATCATGCTAATAATTTTTGGCAAATAATTTGCATACAACCGGTTTATATGAACCTCAGTTCACATAATTATGTTGGTCAATCCAAAGTTTTTAATGCAGGATACTTGACTGGATACAGGACTGTGGTAGGAAGTCCTGTGAACACAGTAACTTATGTTATGATTTAACAGAGAGAACTGGTTATTATTACAAGAAAACACAAGTATTAAACAATAATATTAGGTATGCTATAGGAGCTGTCATATGGATATGAGAGGCCAAATGCTTCTCTCTTCCTTTCCTCATTACTCATGAACACAGCATTTGTTCCTAGAAGAACTCATCTTTAAGAAAGAATTAAGTGAATACTTAGAGTATTCAAAACATTTGAATTTAAATCCTTCATTTGTCACCACTCTTAAATGACAAAAGCAAAGTGTGAGACATAGAGAGGATGAAACAAGCAAGAGAGATTGAAAGCAGTGTCACCACAGTGAAGTTCTCTGCTTTCCTTTAGGTCCTTTCCCTCAAATGTAGCAGTTTCAGGTTTCAGCAGTGCTTTCAACTGAAAACTCCTCCTCACAGCAGTATTCACTACTAAGAATTTTCCTGGTTAGATTCACATTTGGTGATGTCAGGACTTTTATGAGTATTTTCATTTTCCTGGCACTTTAAGGATCGTTAAATATCATCTAAAATATTGTTAGCTTTTCCAGAAAATGTAGAGGCAAATTCTCATGAACTATTTACATTTACCTAATAAATTTCAAAGATACAGAAGATAAGCAAAAGCAGTAGATTTATCAGCTGTGTAATAAATCCATATACAGAGAGCATCAGCACTCTCAAATGCTGAAATCAGTTTCACAATTATAAAATAGTTATTTTTTAAAGGGAAGACTCAAAACATATCCGTATGAAGTGCTAAACTACATCCATGCACCTACCTCTGTAACTGTGTCCTGTGGAATAGTGGCAAAGTTTGGGGAGGAAAATGTGAATCCACTATCAGTTCCAGCATCATATGGAAATAGATCCACTGATACTTCGTCCATCCAGTGGTTTCCTTCACAGAGATTTAGGCTGTCAATACCCACAAACCAGTCGGGGCTTGGAACAATTCGTACAACAAACGAAACCTAATGAAACAAAATTATCCATCAGGATTGCATCACTTGCTTTGGAATGCTTTAGTCCTCCTTATAGTAATTTTAACTCAAATTCTTGAAATTATGTAATTTTGCTCTTCTACTCTATAGAAGGTGTGCAGTGCTCCCTGCAATGTGACATGCTTTTTAGTAACTCTTTTTCATTACGTTGTTCTTACAAATGAGAACTCAAATATTTAATTTTGGCGGCTGGTAAAAATAAACTTCTGAAATGAGTATGTACAATTACTTACTAAGGGATGTCTTGGATGCGCTTCTAATTCAGTAGAGGTTTGTCCTGTGCCGCTGGAAATTGCAGGAGCAGAGAAGATTCCATGTACACTCTGAATTTTCTCTCCAGCTTCTTCTATTTCTTTCATTAATGCCCATGCTTCACCCTTTTCAGCAAAATCACGTACACCATTGCTGGCATATTCATTTTTTTTCCACATGTTGTAGTCAGAACTATGAGTAACACCTATTTGAGTGAATACATGGCATGACATAAAAGTCTGATTTAGAATGTCCCTATTCCTTCATTTTCTCTGTTTTATTTCTGAGGTTAAAAAAATGTGTATAAAATTGAGTGAACACTAAAACATTTGGCTTATCACTGTTTATTTCAGTTGCAGCCAATTGAAAACAGAAGTCAATTGAAAACAGTTGTAGATTTTTGAAAACATTGTGGATACTTCAATATCTGCATTCATTCTTAGTAACTTTGGGGCTTTTTTTTCCTTTTTTCATTACTTATCTTACATAATTATTAAGGAAAAAAAAGATCACAGAGGTCGAGAGGCTTATCTGCTATTAATGCTGTGCATACTTCACTTACCTAGCAAGGATGACCACTGTGCTGGGGGCCTATAGAGTGGGTACTGCTTAGGGAAAGCAGTTTGACTCCATTTCCCTGTGAAGATTATCCTGTACTTAGCAAGTTCCTCTGCTGTGCAAAGAGCATCCTCCCCCACAGGCAGGCTGCTGGAATAACCCAGCATTGTTACAAGCACTGTCCAGAGAACTTTACAGGACCAGTAGACAAACATCAGGTTTTCCATTCCCTTCCACATAAAAAGAAAGAAAAAAAGTGTTAGCCATATTAGTCACTCGAAACTCGAAAATTAATAACAGTTACCTAATAAAATGTAATGTAGTATAACTTATAACCACAGAGAAAGCAGATATTTGAAACACTAAAAATTGCTATGCTTCTGAAAACGTTACTATAATGCTTTCAGATTTGTTATTTCCATGGTATATACTACAAACCCGTAACTTTACCTGAGACAAGTGTTTCTAATAAAAATGAAAATAAAAATATCTTCTCCTTATCCATAGTACTACCTAAGAGAAAAATCTGTTTCTGATTTTCTTTTGAAATCTGATTAGAGTCACATCTTGATTTAATTAGAGTAGCAACTGTTTCTGTGGAAAACATTAGTGGTATATTTATTCTTCTAAAGATTAAATTGCGGGTTACTTTGCCAAAAGAAATGATTTATTTTAAATTTGTGTTCTACAAAGGCTGTTTTATAGCATAACATTTAAAGTCAAATAGATTTCATATTTATATAAATTACTTTGCTGTCATAATGTGAATTAAAAACATTGTAATTCCTTTAGATTGTTTAAACTACACCGTTTCTTAAAAATCAGTATTTTTTTAAAGTTACTGTCGTAGGTTGTGCAGATTTTGTTTTTAAATTAACATGGTAATTGCATCGGACTGCTGAACTCCACCAGTTGTTTAAAATAACAGCCTTAAAACCTGATTTTTAAATGTCTTTGTCCTTTGAGAAAACTATACAAACTGAAGTAAATCACTAATAATATATTATTTTGTAAAAATAGCTATGAATACTCACTAAATATTCCTCTGGAGCACTGGTAGGGGGAGAGCACCTGCTTTTGCTGGCAGCTGAGTTGGTCTGCAAGAGAAGACAGTAGGAGTCTTGCTATTTATGCCTGAAGAGGGTCCCTTTGGTCCAACAATTATTGCAATCTTTAGACTTTCCAGGTTTGCAAAAATCGTGTCATCTTCTTGTTTGCAATCCCTCTGGATGGAGTAGCAGAGGTTTCCTGTCTGTCAGCTGGTTCAGATTCCTTATCAGAAGCCTGAGATGCCGAAAAGACAAAATGCTTTTAAAAAATACCTTGGATTCTTAGTAACAGTTTGAGTTTTCTGGTGCCTTTACAGTTCTCTGCTCTTATTAATGCCTCCAAGCTATACAAATGAACTGATTCCAACACTGAAATAGTTCTAGTGAATACTCTTTAAATGAGAAACATGTTTTCTTGTAAGTTTTATTGTCTGACAGATGCTCCTTCCAAACATTTACAGAGAGCTTGCTCACTCTCACACACCATATGTATGTGTTCAAATAAAAGGGGTGAGGCAGCTAAAAATGTCAAGAGGAAAAAAAAGTTACATTTCATAATTGCACATACTCAGACTGTGTCTCCTGCAAATATGAATTAATTTAAAGTAGTACAGTGTATATTTTTGTGTGTACAGTACTGTATGCTGGATGATGAAAGGGCTCTGTAACATTGTGGTTTCTTTGGAAAGAGTGGTTTTGGGAAGCTCGGAGATTTTTCTTAGCTGTCTTCAGAGTAAAAAACCCCAAATAAAAATCTCATTATTACAGTTAAATCATACATCCTCTATAGCACAGTACATATACCTACATCATTAAAAACTTTTAAATTGTTGATAAAAAAATAAGCATTATAGAGTGACCCAATTAAAAAATAATATTTAATCTTCATTTTAAGCTATTTTCTCCACCACCTTTCAGATAAGGGATAACAAAGGGCTTTATGCCAAACCTGTAAGGTGAACAAATGCTATTGTGGCTAATCAGAAATTCAAAATTTTACAGTGAACCATGAAAGTAGTTTCATAGAGTTTTCTTTAGAAATTGCGAGGAATGTCACTTAAGTACTTCCCCAGATCTCTAACATGATGGTGCAGCATATGGGAAAAGACCCAAACAAACCCAGTTATTTTCCAGATGCAGCTCCCAGGGCATCACAGGTTAAGCACACACCACACAGCTTTAGTGACACACTTTTGTCCACCAAACAACATGTCTGGGCTTTGTGGCACTTTAACTGGAAACTTCCCTCCCACCCCGTGGTAAATCCAAGCCAGGAGGTGAATAAACTGGGATGTCTGGATGGAATTTCTACCAATTATTCTGCTGACAAAATGGAATCTATTGCAAGTTTCAACATAGATGGCTACAGCACCTATAGCCACAATTATTCTGTATCTGGGTGGATGTGGGAATCCTGTTGCAGGTTACAGCATTTAGGCATGGACATGCCCTTTATTTCCAAGGTCTCTTCCTCCATCCTATGTTAATGATATGTTTTCCATAATTGATTTTTCTTCCAGGAGCCAGACTCCACTAAGAAAAAGAGCAAAGAGCCTTCATGGATACTTTTATACGAGTTCTTTGAGTGTTTGTTGAAGAACGATACTTGAATTACATCCAGCTCACTCTCTCCTATGCACAGAATTCCAGATCCACAGGTTTCTTAGAGATTTTAATTTAACGACATCCAGCCCATGTAACCTGCTCGAACTACACAAAGATCCCACAAATTTAAAAGTATATTGCTAAGTGTATTGTTAAAACTACTTAAGGCTTGCATATTTATTATTAAATAGCCTTAAACGTCTGTAAGTTTTGTTGTCTGTCATTACAATTACTGAGCTAGTGAACTTCACATACTGAAACCTACTGTGGCACTGCCAGGACAGCATGTAAAATGAGAACAAAGCAACTAGCTCTGGGTCTGGCACAGAAATATTTAATTTATCAGAATAGCCTTTTCCTTCTGACAGTAAAATGCTGGCAAAAGGCACATTATCAGACTAGATTATTCTGGTTCCATGACTACGTGTTATGAATGTACCCAGGAATGGGACAATACATACAGGCTGCATAACTTGGCACTGGACCTTTCCCTGTTTGCAATGAGGATTTTACCATGACAGATTTCTCATGATTAAATTCTTCAGTACCCAGAGCCTCATTCTTATCTTTATTGAATTCATAATGAAATCGTTGGGCAAAATACTGTAAATTTATTTAATTATCTTATCTCCCTATCCCCCGCCCCCTAAGGCTGAGTGAAGAGAGAGAAAAAAAAAAAAAAAAGAAAGAAAAAAACATGCAGAGTAATGTTGTCAGAAAATCCTAACTTGAAGACTCACTGTCTTATTTCTTTAAATAGAAACTGTGCTAAGCATAATCCGTCTCTGACATTGTGAAGGACATCAAAACACTAAATGTATCTCATAGATGGGAAGGAAAAGAAAAAACAGAAAAAAAAGTAAATTTCCACTCAATGGATTACTTTCATGGCTGGGAACCACAGATGCCAAATTTCTGTGGGCCAGCAGTAGGAGAAAAAAATGCTGTGGGATCAGAACTTATGCTTGCATTCCTTCTTCAGTTTTTATGTCCCATTAGGAAGCTTCTGAGAACTCATGGAAAACTGGTAAAAAGAGTTTCCCTTTAGAAACAAATTTGCCTGTACAATAAATGTATTTTTTCTTTCTCTTTTTCAGCAAAATAGCTTTTGTTCTTCAAGTTTGTGTCTCTTCTGGTACACCTATTTTCTATCCACATATGTACCTCTACAGACCCTGAATGCTGGAGGGATTAGTCATACAAAGAGTGTTTTATTTAAGCATCAGTGCCAAAGTGTGCCTTGGGTTAAATTTTGCTTGCAGAAGTGTGCAACTTCTGCTGTTTCTTGTCAATATGACAACATTTTTACAGTTCCTGCAGTCTTTACCAAGATTCAGAGGACAAAAGCTGGAAAGTATAAAACAAAAATGGTGTCCAGATACTTTTAAAGTGTCAATCATAACTTTGTCTAAAATAGTCCATATTTTTTCTAACCAAAAATAATTAAAGAAATGAGAAAACAAGAAAAAACTACTTAAAAATACTTTAAAACAGTATAATCAGTTTCATGTTGGCTCTGGAATCATGTACACTGTACTAAAACATTTAAATGAGCAAATTCAGGCTATCACACAGGAATATAGCACATTAAAATCATATAAATTCCATTTTGATTAGTCGGGGAATAATTTAGCCCTTTTTCTGGCAAACAACCAGATTGCCATGATTAGTTATGACTTTTCTATTAAACTGTAAGATTAAGAGAAAGGAAAATTTACCAAAATGACTAATCTGAAGTTAGTTTTCCCAGATTTACTCAAAACAGAAGCTCAAAAAATTTTGTATTTATGTTCCTGAGGTATCAGCACACATTTCAATTTTACTAAAACAATTTCCATTCTGCTGATAAGGAGTATATATGGAACTCTGATATTCACAGGCTGCTTAACATGGTTATGACTAGCTAGAATCTCTTTGTCTACCAAGAAAAACATAACATAGTATTGCTTAAGGATTACACATCCATACTTTCTCTCCTGTGGTTACCATGGAGACACATATAATTGTGGACACTCAGCAATGTTAAAGGTTTGCATTCAGTCAAAACCCTCTGAGCTCTAAGTTGTAAAATCTCAGGACCAGAATGGGAAGCAGCAGAATGTTTTATGATGGCGAAATTGTGAGGTTGGTTTGGGAGCTTTTACAAAAGAAAGTGTTTACATAGGAGAGTAAAGTATTCTTGATATTGGATGGTACAACAGTAGTGAAGGCAGCTTTAACTTTATTAATCTTTTGGGAGAAAAATTTACTTTGCAGATTAAGGTACCTAAAGTAAATACAAACACACAAACTAAATAGGTATACTGCCACTTTATATAATGGAGGTCTAGTTATTTTAGCTGATAGAATCTATAGCACTCACCCTTTAATCCATACCAATATTTGACCAAATTAATAACTGATGAGCAGTACTCAGGTCTCCACTAACTGTATTGATAAGCTCTCCATTGATCCTACCTCCCATGGTACCATCTCAGTAACAGATGCAGGCATCTGTCTTTACTCAGGGCTCCCTGACAATTCAAACCAAAATAAGGAAAAGAATAAAGAAAAATGCCAGTCTTTTTGACCACAGTGACACTCATTAGCATCAAATCCTTTTGTCATCTTCTGCATTCTTCTGTCATTTGTATTAAAATACTTCCTTAGTACTGAAACACCTAATATGTGGCCCAGCCCTAGCTAACTAAATCGAAGTCCCCCATGACAATTACCAGAGGCTATGTTTCTATTTTGTATTTTCTCTAGTACCCAATGACTTTTCTCAATAGTTACCTTCACCAGCAGTTTTGATTTCTTAATCTATAATTTATCATATGAACTCAGAAGTTGCCTTCCACTGAAAGGTCAGAGCCATATTTTATTGTTTCACAACAGTCCCTCAGCATAATACATAAAGTTGGTCATTCTTGGCTCTCACAAATGCTTCCTGATGCCCTAATCACCAAGGTCATTTATCCAACTCATCTGTAGCACAAACCATGAAATCTTGTAATCTCCTTTATGGGTAAAGAGGAGTAATCTTAGCAGCAATGAACTCAGTTGGAAACAAATAATTTGAATCCTCTCTGCCATCTCAGCAGCTAAATCACAAATTGGGAGCCTCTTTCCTATGCTATGGCCAATGCTTGCTGTAGGAATGAAGCAGACTCACAGGGATTCCACACCCAGGAATTCCTCTTATCCTGGACTTCATCACCATTGAGCCCACTGCACACCTGCCAGCTGGTAATGCCACTGCCTCTTTGTGTTTCCAGAGGCCTTTGAAGCAGAATATAGGAGAAAGAATTCATGCTACCTTTTTATCCACAAAAACTCCACAGATCTGAGACAAAAACCCAGCTTCTTTCACCTGTTCATCAGATATTCGGAGCTGTGGATCAGAGTCAGCTTTCTGAGCACTGTGCTAACCTGTGGCATATCTACACCAGCAGCTTTAGCTCCCTGGACTGCATAGCCTGCAGGACTCTGGAACAAGCAAAATGTTTAGGAAATGCTGAAGGCAAATCTTGCAGACCTGAGTGTTCAATCTTGCAGAGATCCCTGCTTTTAACTTTACTTCAGATATCTGCAGGAAAACCTAAAACTGAAATAAAAGTTGTTCTGAAGGGAATTTAAGGTATATTGCAC